GTCTCTGGTCACCAAGGGAGAAGAAGCTGGAACACAAGCCATGAATGGTTCTGAGCCTGTTTGCAGCTTGTAGCTATAGGCTGTGACAAAGATAATTTCTTTAAGACATACTGGGGTTGCACACAGCATTATCATATGGACATGCCCTATAACACCCCAAAAACACCTCAGCTTTCCAGTGCCAAAGTAGGTCTGGAATGTTCTCCACTACACTTTGTGGGCATTGCAGGTTTCCTAAAAAAATATTTTCAAATACATCAAAGTGGTGTGTGATACAGCAAGCCGCTACCAGCGTAGTGCAATCGGGGCACCACACGAGGCCAGCTGGGTAGGTAAAAAGAAAATGTTGAGCCCACTGAGTGCCAAACGCCTCCTGAACGCCCTAGAGCTGCTTGAGTTTGGTTTCCGAGTCTTTTGGCTTTTGAAAGTTGCACTTCTGAGATTCTCTTCTTCCCTCTAGTGTCCATTCCGAGGCATTCCTCTTGCTCTTCAAACCCAGCAAAAGCGGTGTTTGCCTGGCTGCATTTGCACTCACTCCGTTCTTCAGGCACAGGTTTTATATCTATAAATGATACTACAACACCCAGTAATCCGACGTTTTCTTTTTCTGGTTTATGCTGTGCCATGCAGGATGATCCTGTTGCAAGGCTGTTGTCTCCTGGCAGCTTAAAAAAAAATCTCAATTACTACCTTAATTTTAGCATGATCACTCTGAACTCCAGCCAGGGATGCACAGCCATGAGGTTTCTGATGGCAGTGTGCAGAGGATGCCTTGTTGAGAGATGAGTCAGAGCGAGCCCTTGCACTTGTTGCCTGTGTAATACCATGCTACATCATCTCTCAGATCACATAATTTCTCCTTGAGCTGTAGGAAACCAGCACAGAGATAAGAAATTACTGCAGTGCCCCCAAGGCTAGATCAAGGCTGTCACTGAAAGGTTGTTTTATTTCTGGTGACAGCAAGAGACCTCCAGGGAAAGATCTCCATCACCTGGGTCACTTCCCAGCTGGCTGAACTGGTTTCCAAAAGCACAGTCATAATCCTCCTCTTTGAGGAGAGACATCCCCCTCTTCTGGGGACGGGGCAGCAGATCTGCCCTCCCAGATGCACCAGGCCAGCTCTCCACCAGCTCAGGGTTTGCTCTGGCACCTTGAATTCAGTCCAGGACAAGCCCTCCTTGGTGTCCTGCAGCTGTCCTGCCCTACCTGTGCCTCTCTGCAAGGTGCAGAAGTTTCCCAGACTGGCTCAAAGAGCCACATGCACTGAGGTATGCTGCCCCCGTGTTCACACGCTGTCTCCACTCTCCAGGGCTGATCCTTTGTCTCAGACAGGATATTTCCAGTATCTCCTGGGGTAATTTTAGAGGAACAAAACACAATAAAAACATGGCCAGGATTCTCTAGTGTAATGAGAAAGCCATTGCAGGGCAGGATTCATCTCACCTGGAAACAGATAGTACCAAGCAGACATCTAAGCCAGCACACAAACGCTGTTTTATCAGTGGAGAGACAGGCACCACTGGAGCATGAACCATCTGACTCATCATACCCCAGAAGTACCTGTGTTTTACTGTGGGTGCAGATACTGCCCATGGCAAGGAGCCCAAGCCTGTCAGGTTCTGAACGAGCCAAGGAACTGTGTAGGAAATGATCCTGAGTTGGCCTCTCATTTGTGCATATTTGAAGAAGGGACATGTATGACGTTTTCCTTCCTGAACATCTCCTGTGCTTTCTCCTCCTTCACAGCCAAAGAAAATATCTTCTATTCGTCCTTTAACGAAGATTAATTTGTTCCAAGTGCAAAGCAATCCCAGGCCTTCAATGAGAGTAATGGCCTTGGCAACAAGCACAACAGCCATGAGCCCTGGGGCTGCGCACACAGCTGCCATGGGGACACTGGACAGGGTGAGCATCCCCTTTGGCCTGTTCCTAAATGGGATGCTAAGATATCCACAGTGGGCTGGGTTCTGTAGAGCTGGGAGGTGCAGAACACAATCCAAGTCTGAGCAGGAGCCACCTTTGTTTGTCAAGGTCCATTTGTCTGGGTGGGATGCTGCTCTAGACATGCTCCCCTTCAGGGGCAGAGATGATTCTTAGTCACTGAAATAACTGGCTGGCACACAGCTCCCTGCTTTTTTCTCCCATGTTTTTTTAAAGTTCCAGCTGAGTGGAGCCTTTCAGTATGCAGGGCACCACCAGTCACTCCAGCAGGGCTGTTCATGGGATACCAGCTAAATGATGCTGAGAGGCCTCCTGCATGGATCATGCTTCTGCTAATGCTGCAGCATTGTCAGTTTGGGCCAAATCCCTTTGCTCTGAGCCCAGCTCCCTGCAGGGCAGCTGCTCCCAGCTAACCACCCCCTCCCTTAGCAGCATGTAGTAGTGAATCTTGGCTCCCAGGAGAAAACTCTTCCCTGCAGTGCTGATTTATTAATAGGTGAGGGGAGCAGTTCTCACCCCTCTCTCCAGCTTACACACTAGATATCAATTTGGCAGCCAGCAGCAAATCCCATTAAGGCAGTGAGATACTTAAAGGCATCAGCAGCTCGTGGCCCATTACAAGAATGAGGGGATGGACTCTGGTAATGTACATCTGAAACTGGTCACATCCAAGTGGAAGCAAGGATCCTACTGAGACAAATATTAAGAGTCTGCAGAGGCAGGGATGGGAATAAGCTCATTCATTAAATGACTTTGTCTATATTCAAGGGACCAATGTGAGATTTTAAAAGAGGAAACAGTGACAAAAAGCCCATACAATGAAACTCCCCTTTTTCCCTTTTGGGCCAAGAGAACTGAATTCACAAATAGCCCATCATGCCTTACATTTCCTAATTAGCCTATTAAAAACCTGGCTGGCTTTTCCATTTTCTAGATGAAAAAGGTGGAAGATGAACAAGCAGAGGCTAAGCCAGGACAATATTTTTCCCTGTGGATCTGTTACAGCTGTCCAGACAGCTATATTTTATACTTTTTATCTTTTATTTTCCTTGTCCTGGAAACTGCAACAGACAACAGCATGGCAGCCTGGGGAAATCCCAAGGTGCACCCATTGCTGGCAGAGAGAAGAGAGGAGGCTACCAGTCCTTCTTCCCCATCAGACTGGGCTGTGATCACAAACTTGCTCTCTTAGCAAGCCTCTCTGCTGTTCCATGCATGACAGGCTGGCCACTGAGTTCTGGCCACTAAATCCCCACAGGCACAAGAGCAGATGGCATGCCCTGTCTTACCAAAACACCTGAGGAGGTGACGGGCCACCACTGCTGCAGTGACCAGCAGGTAGACTGGACGTCTCCTCCTGCCCCTGTGAACACCAGGGCAGAGCTATTTTTTTTGACCATTTCTCCATATCCTCTCTGCCAGCTCAGAGAAGCTTCTTGCCCTGTGCACATAAAGAGCCAAGTGGAGTTTGCTGCAAGATGAGACCACATTTTTGAGAGATTTTCCAGATCTGTACCAAGAGTTTTGTCTCTTCAGATGCTCATGTCCAGACCCAGTTTACACACCCACTGGTCTTTTTTTCCCCCTCCACCCCTTTGAAACGAGAGATGTCGATTGAGAAGGAGGCTCTGAATATCTGGAGAAGACATCACCCCCTGGTATGACCCTAGATATAGAGAAGGGTCAGTGCTGTCAGTGTATCTTTTCTTTTACAAGGCCAGTTTTTTGTGTGTGTGTGTGATGGTATGGTCAATGACACTGGCAAAAAGTCAAATTTAGGAGCCGATTTGAGGACACAGGCACTGTTGCTGGGTGAAATCCTGACTGCATCCATAATATTGCATAAAATCACATACCACATAGTTTTAAACGACTTTTGATAGATTTCTGCTAGGACACACCAAAACTGGGCAAACTTGCTTCAAGCTCCAGACTATTTTGTAAGATAAAGTGGTGCAAGGAGCACCATGACAAAAGGAAGTTTTAGGGTTTTGTCTATTCTTCTGCTTCTCTAAGATGGCCAGCAGAAAGGAAGCATAAACCAATTCATTAACTCATTGTGTAATTACTGTTTTATAAATTGATTTTAAAAATGTAATCTAACATAGTAATTTAAACTGGAAAAAAATATGATGACGCTTGGTTTCAGATTGCAACATCAATAAAGTTGTAAGGAACAGTCATTTGGAACAGCATGTCACAGACTGCAGTCACTAAAGCACATATTTTGGACCTTACCCATGAAGCAAATGCCCTATTGAAAAAAACAAAAAAAGATATGACTCCTTTACTTCCCTGCTTTGCTGTATCATCACTTAAAATTATCCAATTACAATAAATTGGAAAGTCTATCTCATCTGAAAATGCTAAAAATGGGATGGGAGGTGAAAGGCACATGCAGAGGACGCTCTGACACCTGGTGACAGAAGTCAGCTCTGCTACAGAAATTCTATTCAGAGGAAGTGAGACAAATCCTTCCAGGTAGCTATGGAGCAAACAAACATGTTAATATTGGCATAAACCACTCGTTCAGCATTTGCTCCCATAGCAATGCATCCTACAAGAACCTCCAATGCCTGTGCAGAGGGTGAGCTCCTGTGGGGGCATAAACTCTGAAACCATCCAGCCTTCCCTGGCTCTTCCTCAGGCAACAAACCTGCTCTGGTCAACACTTCCTCTCAAGCCCTTGGTTTTGGCCCTCACATGTTTAACATCCAGGACTGCAAAACACACATTGCTGGCTTCTGGTAGGTCACCTCCTGCAGCCCACTCCACTGACAGCAGGCTCCATGCTCTGCTTTCTTTGGTGTCCCTGCCTGACTCACAGATCTGGGCATGGTGTGGATGAGAGGAAGTATGACAGGATTTGTTCCGTTTTAGTGTGTATAGGTTGCAAAAATAACCACATTTTTCTGTAATAAGAAGTTCGTTTGCTCATTGATTAATCAGTGGTTGCTCTTAAAATATTTCTGGTCCAGCTGTATCTTGAATTGAGGCAAATAATGTTACTTGTTTGAACTGCTCTGTTTAGCTTGCATAAGAAGCTGCAAGAGAGCATTGATCCTTCATGGCTGCATTGTGTACATGGCTCCAACACATGCTGGCAACTGGGTATCTTCTAGGATTGAAGACTTCTGTTCCGAGATGTTTTTGTGGCAGTGGATTTGCCTGCCAATGGCTGCAGAATGGACCTGGCAGTCAGAGGCCAAGCAGAATTCATTGGCCTAAACCTCTGTGAGGCTTTTGTGGATGAGCGGGCAGCTGGATGCTGGTGGTCGATCTCTTTAGAAGGGCTCTCATCCATGATGGGCCTGAGGAAAACAGGAAAACTCTGGTGAGACTGCATTCCAGATTTGAACATCTGCATTCTCCTCACCAGCTCTGAAAACTGAACCAAAAGCTGCCAGGCCTGGGAGAAGCCCCAGGCACATGAGCCTCCCACACAAGGCACATGCTCTCTGCCTGTGTTGACTCCCAAGTGACTACAATAATTCAAACCCAAGCTATCGTGTCACAAGTCCTCAGTTGTACTTCTGCAAAGAAGCAACAACATGATGCTAAATTTACAGCAAACAGGTTCTGAAATAAACATGTTTTGGTGCATGTGACACTTCTCTAATGCCTACTTCATTTTCCAGAGCTCATTCTAACATGAATTTGTGTCAGAGAAAAAACCCAAGTGCGATGTCAGGAACCCTTCCTGGAGTGTACTGGAAGAGAGTTTTGAACAAGTGCCACAAGATCTTTGCAACAGACACAGCATTGGCTCTGGGTAGGGAACATGAGAATGGAGCAGTAAGAACACAGAAAAACTCTGGGCTATTATTCAAAAAAATACAAAATTTATAATACTCAGGCTGTAAGGAACATGGGAAAATGTTTCATTAGCTTTAGACAGTCAAAGGTAAATGTCAGCACAAATAAAAGGGATTCTTTTCACAGAAGAAGCAGGAGACTCCAGAGACAACAGTGAAATCTGCCTTTTCCTGTTGTGAAGCCCCTTCCATTTTTCCCAGATGCGTTCCCGTGCACATGCCTGATCCTGGATGACCCAACAGCTGCTGGTCCTGGAATGGGCCTTTGCTGGCTGGTGCTGCCCACAGACTGGTGCTGCTCTTGGGATCCAGAGGCAGCCAGGGTGCTGTGCAGGCCCAGCAGAGCAGGTTCTTTGTCCAGAGGCTGGGCTGAATTCTCTTGATGAGCCTTTGACTGGGATTGCTGTGTCCACTGCCTATCCTCCTCTTGGCTGGGTATTTTTAGGCCCCTGTGGTTCCTTGTTTTCCAAGGTCTTGCTGCAACATCCACTGCAGGGGCAGGTGAAGGGTTTTTTGGAGGGGTTGGAATTAGATAACGTTTTGTATTGGAGAACACTGCACCGTCCTGGGCCTGCGACAAACCTGAAACAAAGTGGAAAGCACAGTGATTTACCAGTTCATCTGACTGCTAAACGACTAACCCAGGGAGTGAAAGGTTTTGGAGATGCTGTGTGATGGAGCTGGGTGGGCAGATGTGTGTTGATGTTCCTCTGACAGTTGGTTTGGGTCCACTGGCAGCCTCCCTGCCAGCACTGCTGGTGATGTGCCAATCATGGAACAGCTCACAGGCAGAGCTCATGAGCAGCTCACACGAGCTCACCTGCCCTCCTGTTCTCAGGCAGGATCACACCTGCATCATTCCCCCCCCCAGTGTTTGCACTGGCTTGTTCTAAATACCTTAGGACTCCTGCCAGTGATCTGAAGTGCAAGGCAGAGGAATTATCACAGATGAGTGGATCCACTTTTTAAATCAGAGACAGAGATCATGGAATCTCATAATAAGTGCCTGACTGCTGGGGAAAATATTGCACTTCATGCAGGGCTACTCTCTGCCTGTTTGTATTTCAGCCATGTAATTCTCTCCATGTAATATGTCCAACACAGAGAAGAAAAAATTTGTTGCTGACTTATAAATATAACCAGCATGCACACATGCTTAGAACCATTCTAAATATAGCAGGGATCTGATTGCTCTTGTCTATTGAAAGAACCAACCATTCTATAAATAGCAGGGATCCAATTGCTCTTGTCTATGAAAAGAACCAACTGCACCTAAGTGCCCGATGTGCAGGGTCCAGGGCAGGAACATAATCTAAAGAATGTGCCATCAAAACTCAGGCCCAGAAAGTTCATCTCTGTGGCTCCCAATTGATGGAGATGTATTTTACTGCCTAGGTAAAGCTGATAAAAAGTTTTCATGGAACAATTTGTATCATACTACATGGTTTTAAAATGTCTAAACTTCCTATTTGTTTTTAAGTATAGCCACTCTGAGAGACTGGTATGTCTGACTCAAGAGCCTGAAATAACATTCAACGCCTTCCAAAAAATGCAGTTTATATGGATATGATGCTGCAAACATTTTTATGTAAGAGTGGCTTTGCTCAGATGACTTGTCCTTTTCTGGTCAGAAGGATTGGCTCCAGCAACAAGTTCTTCTGTGAGAAACTCAGATTGGATTGGACACACTTCTGTGTGTGATTAGAATCTTGGTCAGTCCCCCCTGCCACCTTAGACAATTTTAGATTTCAAACCACTCCATCATCAGCCAGCAGATTTAGTTAAAAGATGAACAGGTCCACGCCCAACCATTCACTTTCACAGTGCTATAGGGCATGACACCAATACACTGTGAGATGTTTGTGACATTGTCTTGTCAATCTACGAAGATGATGAGACCACCATACTCAATGTAAAGTGAATATGTATAAAATCTGAAAAAGATCAGGTTAAATCTAAAGACATCATGAGATCATAATCTAAGACTTCTGTGGTCACTGGACAATAGGCCATTCCTTTAGATTTTTGCAAACAGCTTTTATTCTTGCTAGGGAAATACTGGTTTTAGTACTGTTAATACATATAGATTCTATTTCCATTTTTTTCCAAAATATACTATATTTTTCTAAATTTTAGTAGATCCATTTTTGCCCTTGAAAGAAATGTAAAATGAAAACTCACGTGTTTTTACTTATGGAGAAAAAAAGAATTGTTTTTATTAACAATAGAAAAAAGACTGAAGTTGCAATTATGTATGGTCATCTATTTAACATCTGTTTGGAATAACCATTATTAATGTTTTTAATATTCTTAAAAACAATATTCAACAAGTAGTGAAGAGTGGGAATTCTGCTTTCATTCATGTAAATGCAATTTCAGAGAAGCCTTTGGCTTTATTCCTGAGTAGAAGAGCATGCTCCATTTTTAAACCTTTTATTGAATAAATCCTTTTGGTTGCATATCTTTCAAGAATTCCCAGTTGCTCAGTTAAACCTTAATCATTATCTCAGTCATTATTTACATCAGTGCCAACTGGGTTCAAATACAGCTCAGTATGAATCACAGTATTTTAGATTCACCTGGCACTGTCATAAATTAATGACACAAAGTAAAAGACAGAGACATGTCCTTATACTAGACTTCATGCTAAGCTAGTGTAAGATCACCTTTGCTCCTCTTAATTCTACATATTCATGCTGAACTATATCAGCTGATGGTCAACACAGCTGGCCACAATGTCCTGCTTAAAAACTGGAATGGATGCTCAGGGTCTGGCTCTGCAGTGGCATTTTCCAATCGCTGCTCTAGAGCACAGATCTCCTAAAACACTGGGGTTACCAATGCAGCTGTCTTACAAACAGCACATGTTACTGCCCAATGCCAACCCTTCCCCAGGGGTTTAGGTCCAGTACCTGAGGAGGAGTGGGAAGAAGGGTCAAGTGAAATCCTTTCAATGAGGTCCTTATCCTTATCTTCATCCTCATTCACCTTCAGTGCTTGGCTGGTTTGTTCTTGCTGACCTGTTTGCAGGCACCTAGACAACATCAAGTACCACACCTTTAATAAGCTTTTGAGTGTGTTTATGCAGCTGGTCAAGTGCAGCTTGGCATGGCCACTCAGACAACACCCAGGAGTGGATTTGGTTACCCACTGTTACTTCACACCTTCCAGGAGATATGAAAAATCATTTTAACTGGGTCAGCTATCTAAGATGCCTGTCTCATTATCTCAAGCATCTTAAAGTGAATCAGGTGAAGTGGGGCAGGTTTAAAATAATACCCAGTAAAGTAAGCTCAGAGAAATAAAACCATTTTTACTTCCAAAATAACCATTACTGTCTGTGAGATCGATGAGATCTCAGCAAGGTGGTATTTATCTTTCAGCCTTTTGTTTGCTTAGGCCAATGTGCTGCTTGCAGAAAAGCTCATCCCCTTTCAGCTCTTTTACTGTCTGAGGGGAAACACTGTCAGAGCCAAGAACGGCTCAGCAGTTATGAAAAGTCATCTCCTTGCTCTTGCTAAGCAATGAGCCATCCTGCCTGTGCTCCAGAGAGAAGGAAGAGGGTTCTTCTTCCTCGCCATCCCGCAGATGCTGCAGGCGGGAGGACTGCCGCCCAAAGCAGGGACAGGAAGGCAGAAGGCACAGACTATCCCTCGAAACCGCCACCAGGTGGCCAAGGCGCTGGCTTTATTTTTGCAGCAGAAAATGAATGCACAGTTTATTGCATGGCAAGATTTCCCCGGCGGTCTCACCCCTTGTGCTGCTCCGTCCGTGCTCCCAGGTCAGGGGACACCTTTTCCTGATGCAGATCTCTTCCTCCTCCAGAGCCACTGAGGTTTTCTGTCGTCAGACCAGACGGTTTCAAAGGGCTCACAGCAGGTGGCTGTGGAAATAGCACAAGTTATCTAGATATCCCTGGGAACTCTTCCCAGCTCCGTTTCTAGATGTGGATTTTAGAAAGCATCAAAGCCCACTGCTGTTTCTGAGTTTTTAGATCATCCCTCATCATTTTCTCACTCCTCAGTTTTAAGAAGTCTCACTCCTCAGTCATGTACTGTTACAGCCTGAGAAACCCAGGGCAGCAGTTACAAAATTCTTGATTTATATTTCACTGGATATAAGCCTATAGCACCTATATCAATAAGCATATTAAGACGAGTACCACAAAAACTGCATCATTCAGTGTATGACCACAGTTCAATTCCACATCCCAATTTTTAGCACATAATAATTCACTAAAATGTTCAAATTTGTTTCAGAAAAGCTTCCTATGCTGAGGCAGTGGGGTAATACATATTTTTTTCCATGCAGTTCTTTAACATCTGCTGTCAGCATTAAGTCCATGTCCTGTGCATCCCCCTGATTTACCCCAGCCTGTTTAAATCTACTCATGTGCAGCTGTGCTGTGTTCAACCTCAGGGTCCACAAAAGCTGACCATGACAAGCCAGGTTGCTCCCCTTTACACACATGGGTATCCTCTCACTGAATTACTGCCAAAATGAGCAGGCTGACTTGCAGGGCAGGGGCACCACCCCACTGCCAAGAGGAACAAACTTTGCCTTTGTGTTTGTTTAGTCAATAGGAACGACCTTGCAGTATTAGCAAGCTGACTGTTTACAGTAACATCAAAGAAACACTGCTGAAAAAAGTCTTTTTCTTAATAGCTGTTGTAGAAATACTACCAAATTTTGCAATCCTGCCTTGTACTTTGCTCCTTGCAGGACAACAGGAAGTCTGCCCCAGCAGCTGATACATGATTTTCATGTGTTCCCTTACATGATTTTCGTGTGTTCCCTTGCAGCTGATGGTCCACTGCTGCTAACACACGGGTACATGCAATATTATGGCAAGAGACCCCCTGTTCTCCTCAAAGGCAACTGCATGTTGGGGGGTCTTGGGCTACAGAAGAGAGTGAGCTGCTACAACCACACTGGGAGTTCAGTTTATGCCAGGAGTTATGGGGGTCACCATGCAGGAATATGAAGCACACAAGAAAAACATACCCCTAGCTTTTGCCTCCTCTCATGGAGGGCCTTGGCAGGGTTCCCACATATAACTTGACGGAGTCCTAAGAAAAACAGGAAAAAATACAAAAAAACATTTTATTCCAGCATTTAACAAACAGTGCTCTTGTTGAAGCAGTCAATATAATTTCCCATAGACAGGAGCTTGTAATATTTCACGGTGTAGGTTCACAGTATCAGCTGGCATGGCCTGACACTGCTGCTAAGAGGCAGTTTCTCTGCTTCCACCAGAATCTGCCTTCTGCTCCTGCCCTGCCTCCTTAGTAGTGCTGGTGCAAATATTTGTGTGGACACATGGTCAGTCAGATCAGGGAACAAATTCAGATTATAAAAAAATATTATTTTGGGGGGTCTTTTTTGTTCGTTCTGCTGGATTATTTTTCAGCTGGATCTTGATCAAAATCAGGTTAACAAGAGATAAGGCAGCAAAGGGTCAGAAGAAGCAGTGAACATTGGGTGAAACTGTCTCTATCAGTAGTGTTAACTGCTTAAAAGTTCATGTAAAATGACGGTCTCATTCCCTGGCAAGCTGTACTTGGTTTCCATGTACATTTCCAAACATGCACTCAGCTGTTGAATCTGCATTGCTTCATCTAATCCATCATCCTGAGTCCTACCTATAGGCATCTAAGAAAAGCAGCCCTCAATGCCTGGAAACAAATGCCATCTTCCTATCTAATCTGCAGCTCATAACACTGTTAAGGTGTTTCCAGGAGTCAGGGAAAGATGGGTGGTATTTCCAAGTGACTAGGACAAGAAGGGCAGTGGCAGACCTGTGTTTTGGGCTAGCCTGTAGATCAGGATGTGAAGTCAAGGAACTGACTCCTCTTGCTGAGGATCCAACCTCTAGAAACCCAAACCAAAGCACTCATTGACAGCAGGGATGCTGCTGCAGTATGAGGCTGCAGTACACACAGTCTGAGCACATGATCCAGTGGGGAGTGAATGTGCATCACCACACCTCTCTAGAGGGCTACCTTGGACATGTTCCCATGGCTGAACAGGCTGTGGCCTGATGTTACTCAAGCAGGACAGCTGTGATGAGGCCTGAAAGGCAGTGCCAGCAGGGGAGCAGCATTGCAGCATGGGGCTGTGAAAAGGGACAGCAGCACGTGGTGCATGGGGGTGGGGGGCTGGGAGGTGGGCAGCACAGGTGACTCTCACCTTCTGCTGCAGGGGAAATAAAGGAAAGCCTACGCTAGAGCAGGTGAGTCTCGTGGAACACAGCATATGCTGAACCTGATTAGCAGTGACACGGGTGGGTGGTATTCAAAGCACCCTGGCTCTCATCTGTAATAACATTCAGAAGGAGGTGGAGGTGTGGGAAAGAACAGGATTAAAGAAATATACATTACCATATGTCAAATCACTGGAGTCATCTTCTGTGAACAGCTTATCAGGAAAAACAATGGGATCTGGAAGAGAACAGCTACTGGACGAGAGGCTAGCATCACTACAGGTCCCCACACTATCAGAACACTCTGCATTTCCAGGTCTGGAAGTTGCTGGGGGTTTTGGGCTGCATCCAGACTGCTTTGCTACTTCCCCAAGATACGAATCTAGAAGAGAGATTCCATTAGTGTAAACACAGTTGTGCAAGGCTTCAAACCACACCATGACTGTACCTTGCCCATATGGTGACTGCTGCTGCACACCTGGAGCTATAGGGGACAGAAAAGTATGTAACTGCAGCTACAAGAATGCTGGAATTCTGGAATGGGTCCAGCCTAGAGACAGAGGTCTTCCAGTGCTGCAGTCATGTCAGAATCTGGGGATCCCTAACTAAACTGATATTCCTTCCCACCCTTCTTCTGCTCCTGGGCACCAGACACAAACTGCTGGGGTTATGGGTCAGGAACTGCTCTGTGCTCACCACCCACTGCCCCATAGGTGATCCTAGATGCATCCAGGGTTCTGCTGCTTTCCCTGCCTGCATGCCCAGGATAACTGTAAGCTGCCTCTCATTTGCTGCCCAACTGCCCACAGGGGAACCATAACAGACTTGCCACAGGCACAGCCTAGGCCTCAGTCTTACAAGACATAGCTTAAATACCCTGGCACAATGCAGATGGTGATGGACACCTTACCAGAGCTACCAGTCGAAGAGGGGAAACTGTACCAGGAGTTACAGAAATCTGGGAATGGCAGTGATAGATTTATCCAGTACTGCCTCAGACCGATAGTTCTCTACCACAGAAAGAAAGGTGAAAACTGGTTTTTTTAATGCTATAGGAAGGAAGGTTTATACAAAAACTAGCAAAGGTGGACAGAACCTCTTCCTCTTAGCTACCCAACTTCTGGCTGTCCTGGGAGCACAGCATAGCTCTAAGAGCAGCATATGCAGCCAACAACCCATGGGAGACAGAATTTCATTTCAGTGCCCAGATGAATAACGTGCTTCTTAAAGTGTTGAGCATCTACCAGCTCCAAAGTGAGGCATCAGCTCTCTGATAATATGGCCATTTCCTTAAGAGTTGAGTGTTGGGGGCCTTTAATATATGTTGGGCACAGCTGTTAATATGAACCCATGAAATACAACCCATGTGAAAAGTACCCAAATCAACATTGCTACCAGAAAGAAAAAAGTACTAGGATGCCTGAACCTGACCGTATGAACTTACTGGTTTAGAGCTGCCAGCAAGAATATAAGTCTGGTTACACCAGGAAATTACATGAATTCACAATTTTGTGCTCTGCCCCTACTGCTTCTGTCAGCAAACTTTGTTAACTAGTTTTCTGAACCTCAGGTGATGTTGCCAAAGCACGATCACTGAAGGATCAGATTTTAATGGATTTTTTTCCTACCATGACTACTATTACAACTAATGATTTGACCCCATAGGGATTCAATAAATGACAAATGTATGTACTTATTCCAAAACAAACTAAATTTTTAATGGAGTACAGTTGGCAGGCAAACCACAACCTGGGGAGGGGGCTGGGAAGCTAACTGCATTGCCCACACTAATGGGAAGCAACATGAGCAGTTATAGGAAATACTTTGCAATATTTAATAGTATGTGGTAAAGTGCATGTAGCACGACACATAAAAGCATGGACATCTGAACTATTATCAAGGCTGCAGGCAAGGGGACAACAGATTTACTTTCAAACCATTTCTTCTCTACAAATGACTGTAATGAAGTTAATCATAGTGACAAAGAAAGTGGAACAGATTTGTTACAAGACCATGCAATTTTCCTGGGATGTTGCTACCACTGAAGGGTGGTAACCAGATTGCCTTTCCTATTATTAAACTGGAATAGGAAATCCAACTACATCCATGCTACACGACTGTTACCATGGAAAGAGCTGTGAACAGCTGCTGTTGAAACATTCCTTTCCAAGCTTTGCTTCTTCCCATCATGCAGAACGAGCCCTAAGTACAGACTCCCAGCTACTGCTATATTTGCTTGACGCTCTAGAAGTTGTCTGCATTTTTTTATCTTGATGCCCAATTTAGGACAACCTCCATTTAAATCTGCACTGTTATCTGCTGAATTCCAGCTTTCTTACTTTCCAGGTGAAGAAGACAACATCCTTTGTCCCTTCACTATAAGTAAAGATTGGCTTTAAAGAGGTCAGCTTGCTCTTCATCTTTCTTTTATTACACATCATAATTTGAAAAATGAACCCCAACAGGAAACCTGTCATACCTAACCATGAAATATCTTTGGCTAAACCACCTTCCTTGATGGATTCCTTGATGATTAAAGAATCCTCATGCATCTTCTTGGAAGGAAGGAGAGCAGTCTGGCTTGCTGGTATTCTGTCCAAATACTTCAAGTGGGGAATGAGTTTTTTTACTTCTGCTCTGTAATTATAATCTGGGTCCTGGAGAAATTGAGAAAGTGGTCAGTTTATTTAACAGTCTGTGGACTTCCAGTAGCACAGTACTGTTCAATTTGTATGAATGCCATATAATTTGAAATGCTCCTCACATAACTTCTACTTGAATTGATCATGAAAATGTCCTGAGGACTGCAAAGACATAACCTTCACCCAAAGGCTCCTTTGTTGTTTGCCCACTGATGACTTTGCCATTTGTCCTTGTTATATTATGTATAATGTGCAAAAGCATAGAAGCCCACTGATGCCCATGGAAAGCCTGGGTACCCTCAGCATTCAGCCAATCTTTCTCCCTGCTTTTGTGATTCTCTGGTGTTTGCATCAATACTCAGGTGATAGAAAGACTTGAAAAATGTTATGAGTGTTGCTATACCTGCTGATGGACGAAGAAAGAGCACTTCCATGGATTGCTATTTTAGTAAAAAAAAAGCATAAAGCAAGAGTGCACTGATAGTAGCAGAATACAAATGGACAGCTACCCACCAATCAATTACTTCACCCAAGCAAGTCTTATGTTTTTCAGGACATTGCATGAAAAATTAGAAACCCACCCAAAGCCATGTCCTCATTCAATACAGAGTGGTCACAAACAGAAATCTTTCTGTGGGGCCTGGCTGGCTCCCTCCCTCTGCACGATGCAGCACTGATGTTGGCAGAGGAAACTCACCAAAAGAAATGTGTTAGTTGTTGTTAAGAGGCAGACACTAATTTTCTCAAACTCTTTAATCTTAATTTAGAAAATGAGTCAACCATTCTCAGCTACAGCCAATTCTCGGCCATGTTCTTCTCTGTTGGAGAGAAGAATCATGTTACACTCATGTTACATTACAGCAACAGAGGCTGCAGAATTTATCATCAAGATGTTGCTCTTGGTTTAGATAACAGGGGAAGATGAGCTCATCTGAAAATCAAATTACAGGGAGCAAACAGGCCATCTGAAGAAAGAGCAGTAAATTTAGCTGGACCATTCTGCAGATTAAAAGTAAATAAATAGGAGAGCTTTTACAGACCTTTGGCAAGGGCCAGACTACAAGAAGGAGCTTGAGGAATTAGAGCTGGCCATCAAGGGCACACCAAAGTAAGCCCACATCTACTCTTTTCTACATGGCTTTTCTGTACACCAAAAAAAATGCAAACATCCATTGAAATCAAGAAAGCAACAAAGTCCACAGAGAAGCTCTCAGCAGCCAAAAGCAGGCCCCACTTTGTAACCACATGAGAGCAAAGCATCTTCCCAACACAGACACTGGGTGGGAGACTGCAGCAAACTCAGCGTAAAATACACCATTGTGCTGACTCCCCGGACAAATTCACATCTGTGACCACCAATGACCACCCAAGCCCCCCCAGATATTCTTCTGTATATGTGGAACTTGGACTCTAGATAAGATAAGGTGGCACTATTGTCCAGGTGTTATCTCAGACTTAGGGGGAGGTTAACAAATCCGGGAAAAAGAATGCATTACTGATAATGGAAACAAAATAAATGCAGAATTTACAGGCCATAAGGAAAGACAAACCAGCAACTCTGCTGAAATCAGTTCCCACTGGGTAAAAGGTAATTTTGACAGGGGAAGATCAAGATCACCAGCTGAAAAGAAAAGACTAAGCATGTGGACTAATTAGCATTAGAGGCAAGAGATAATAATTTAACCTATAGCATAAAAGAACTGTGTAGCCAATGAGCATTAATTCCTTTGTTTGCTAAAATGTATAAAGCATGAAAAGTCTTAAAAGACTTTGGGACCCTACCACCAAGAAGCCCAGGCTGAAAAATGATCAGCAAGGATGTCACTGGATCCATGGGTGGTGACAATGTTCTTCTCTCTCCTCTCTTTTCTATTTCTTTTTATATCTCCACCTCACATTTACCGTTAAATAAAATCTGTATCACTCTGTATGACTTTGGCATAAGGTTTGCACTGTAATTCGGGCAAAGGCATCTCTCACTAATCAGACCTTAGCACCTCTTGCACAGGAGTAGAGACAGCCATTCTGCATGGAGAAGAGCAGGAGGGCTCAGCACCACATACTGCTTCCATTGCAGGATAACATGCAGAGCACCCCAAGGACTGATTTCCTCACCTGAACAAGCCAAGGGAAATCTGACATTTCTCCATTACAAGTACACTTAAGGACTGATGATGCCAAATCCTCTAAAAATCCCACTTTCCTTGAGCAGGAATGACAAGGAAGTAGAATCAGACCTTCTGTGTTGTTAGGATACACTGCACCATTTCCATAGTAGGAAGCTAAGATAGGAAGTGTCAGTAGCTGTATTTATCTCCATGGGAGTAGAAAGAGTAAGCAGGCATGCCTTGTCCATCACAAGCAGGCAGTGCTTCCTTACTGCAGGAATATGTTTTTCCTCTCATGATTGCATCTTCCATAAGGGAGAAATGTTCCAAAATGGAGAAATCATTTTTGGTTATAAGCAGTTACAATGTGGTCCCTTAAGGATAATTCCACCAGTTCAAACTAGAATGGCAAGTATATAATATTTTCTTTTGAATTCCAGAGAGGAAGATTGTGATAGCTAAAGAGCTACCTTCCATGGCCCCTTTTACTGAACAATAAGATCAAGCCAACAATTACATCTGAAAAAAGCTATTAACTCATATATTTAAGAAGTGCCAAGATTTAAAATATATGTCTATTGCATGATTGAGTTTTAGTGTTAACACCTGTTTTCAAGTCTAAGTCCAAGAAAAATATCAAACCCAACCTTTTAGACAAATTAACAGCATCAGCATGACTTCTTTAGAACACACAGAAAAGCTATGGAATATGTCACAGTGGGATAACAGCATCAGCTCTGATTTTGGACCTGCATTATCAGCTGTTCATGTTGCCACTGGGATTTGCACCATCCTTAGCGAGACCTGTGTTTTACCTAAATGTGTTTGTGTCCACACACCTTCCAAAAGACCTGGATGACAATATATTGATGTTTTAATATCCCAACAGTGCTTTTTTTATGAAGCAGGAGAAAGTGAAAGGGAGTAATACTGCTCTGAGGCTGTTCACATAGAATTAGATCTCCCTTGCTTTGCTTGCTGAGTGCCCTGAAACCCAAATCATATCATGTATTATTGTGTTCTCATCTTCGCGACACAGAGGCTCTTTCATGCCTTCAACAAAATACCTCAGCTGAAATTATTCTATCATTTTAGTACATAAGAGGTTAACCACTGTATCAGCTTTTTCAGAAGGTCTTTTGGGTAATTTGATTTAAATCTTTTGGGGAAAGGGTAACAAACAGTTCCAACCTTAAAGCTTTAGGATTCCTAGTTATCTCAAGCATTGTTTTTCTGCGGGCTCAATTTCTGAACATGGTGGTGTTAGAGGACTTGCTTTTGGACTGGAGAGCCTCCAAAAGAAATACAAAACCCTCAAAAACGGGTATCTTACCACAGAATCACAGAATGCTTGGGGTTGGAAATGACCTCTTAAGATCACCTAGTCCAGCTCCTCTGCTAAAGCAGGTTCACCTGGAGCAGGTTGCATAGGGCCACATCCAGATGGGTGTTGTGTATCTCCAGGGGATGACACTTCACAGCCTGTCTGGGATGCCTGCTCCAGTGCTCATACTCCGAGAAGTTTTTCCTCATATTGCTGGGAAACAGGCCTGAGTCTTTACTAGCACTCTTGTATTTCACTTGTGGTCATCTTGGAGACCATAGTGATGAGACCACAAAATCAACAGAAATGAAAGGTGGGAAATGCATCCCATGTCATCATTTAGAATGATGCAATAGGAAGACGCAGAAACGCTTCTCATTTCCAGCTCACAGTTAAAAAGCACTGACAAAAACCACAATATGTACAAACCAAGTCCTCACCTCTTCACAGTCTGCAGTTGGCTTCAGGCAAATAAGGTTGCCCTCCACTGTCAGGTGGCTTAGTTTGCAACAAAGTCGCAGGAACTGCAGCTGGTTGATGTCCTCAATATTGTTCCCTTCCACGTCCAAAACCTCAAGGTGATCCAGCCAGGTCAGCTGGCTCAGGTCAGAGATATTGTTATAAGCAATGTAGAGTTCCTCAGCAGAAGTAAACACAATAAACATGTAAACCATGGGCTTGCACAAGTAACACCGAAACTTTGCAAAATGTTTTCTAATATTTGAAATACTAAATGTCACAGGCTGAAACTAGCAAGGTTAGTGAACATTTTATAAAGTGTGGCTGTTGCAGCCTTAAATAACAAGTGCTAATTTAGCCATATACTGCTTTAGGTATACTCAGATCAGACCTGAATGTTACACTTCATTTTAAAAAGCTATATTGTAGCATCTTTTAAACTAAATCATGCAATTCAAGGCATCAAACCAAAGCCAGCCAGAAAAGCAAACAGTGAGGAGAGTGAAGAGTAAAAGTATAGAATATGAACTGAAGATAATTCTGAGATTGTCATTTGGCAGGACACATCTATACTTACTTTTAGAGAGCTGCAGGAAGAGATCCCATCTAAATCTGAGAGCCCACACCGAGCCATCCACAGGACTTGGAGATGGGACAGTGAGGTTCCAAGATCCCTTATAAAAAACAATTCAAGCTCTATTTGAATGAGCGAAAAAATTCAAGACTTTCAAGACTTGCTTTCTTTTTCCTAAGACTCGGCCACTGCTACTTCCTTCAAATCTCACATTGTTTACAAGAAATTCCATTTAAAATGTTCACCCTTAAAAGTGGGGAATAAAATTATATCCCTCTTTACTTATTCCACTGTCATCTTTGTTCTTGTTTGACAACATGTCACCTTAGTTCTGTTTGATTAAGATTATTCCAAGAGCTACATCATCGTAATTCTGCCATAAATCACAGGCAATTGCTAAGAATTAAGCAGGGTTTTCTTAAGATGGCATCATTAGCTGTACTCATATAACCCAAATTTACATATCTGAGCTGACTGCATGTCAGCCTCACTCTGTCCCTCTTACAGTTACCTCTGTTCTGATTTTGCAGTTGAAAGGAATAACACTTTTGCCAAATAACATTTTTTTGTATCAGCATAAAATTATAATCCTTTCCATCCTATTTTCCCACCCTCTGGCTGTAGCAAAATATAAATAAGGGATCATTTACATGAACTTTAAACTTTCTGGTCATAACCCAGAAAATCACACACTGACCTGCTAGAGTCCATGCATATGCAATGTCCCACTGACATTACAGTGCTGCACAATGCAAAGATAACACAAAAAAAAGTGGCAAATCAAACTGGGGCCTTAATTACCTGCCATCTTTGGTCACATTAAATTGCATAAAGCCACTAGTTGAACATAAACAAAATGCAACACTTTATCAAATCCCAAATCAACCAAAAACTTAGAATTCTCGACTGTAGCCATGATATCAGAGTGTCTGAATAATAAGGAACTAACCAGTGGGTAACTAAATTCAAAGATAGTCTATCAGAGGAGGTAGAGACTAGCATGGAGCTCATAGAAACACAGTAATGGCTGAGTTGGAAGGAAGTTATCTTGTCCAACATCCATACTCAAGCCAGGCCAGTTTCTCAAGACCACATAAAAAGCTAAAATAGTTTTTAAATAGAGATTATTTGACCTCAGATTTTTGGATTAGCTGCATCTTACAACATTCATTGTTATAATACAGAGATTAGTAAGCTACGTACAGAAAATTGCAGAAGACAGAAGTCATAGGGGCTCTTGTAATCTTGAAATATCAAGGTAAAGTTGTACTCATGTCCTCCCTTTGTGGATGACAGGGACCAAGACCAGCTTTGCATTGCTCATCTTTGCAAAGCCTCACACAGCTTTGATTCAGCTTTGCAGCAAACCCCTGCAGTCAAGCTGCATGCTCCAGGGATACTGGGCATCCAGCCAGTCCCAGAGGTCAGGAAGGAGTGCTTTCATGAGTGGGGATAGACATACTCTTATCTGTATTTTTTTGTTTTTTCTCTACCATCTGAATACTTGGGAAGGGCCTTGTCAGGAGAAAGGAGCCTGCATAAGCCTGAATAAAGGATGAGTGCAAGGAAAAATATCCCCAGGTGCCTCTCTTCTGTGATGGGCCAAATGCAGGGTAGGATGGGAGTTTCTAGGTGAAATTGGGGGTTTTCATCCCTCTGCCTCCTAGGGACTGGTATGTCCATGGGCATCATTCAGACCTATCTGACTCCATCCATCCTCTACCACTGCAGGGGCCACAGGCAGTGGGTGCCTCTAATTACCCCTTCCTTGGATGCTGCTCATTTAAATAAGCTCACAATGGATACACCACACAATGTCTTTATGTAACATTTTACAGCTTTTGAGGTACAAACAGTGCAGCTGACTCAATGGCCAAAACTAAGCCAAAACCAAAAATCTGAGTCTCATTGAACATCTCTTTCCATCCAAGGCTAGTCTTCCCTTGAGGAGAAAGCCCTCAACTGATATGAACCACAACACCTGCAGTGAATTTTGTGCATCCAGGAAGCTTGCCTCTAGTGACACAAGGATAAAGAAAGCCAAATTCATATCACGACATCCCTGGCCTTGCACAAGATCTTCCACGGTCTATTACCATTGTGTATATTTTCTAAATAAAACAAAACCTGGTTCTAAGGCTTCCTTAAGGAACAGATGCCTCCCAAAGTAATATTTACAGAAAATTTATTATTAGATTTGCAAGCTGCATGCCTATAATAAGAAAGAAATTAAATTAAATTACAAAACCAGAACCTACCATCAAGCAAGGCCAACACACCCATAAACACAAATATGGCATTAGGAATAATGTGAAGGGATTGCACTGCTCATTTCGTGACCCTCTTCAAGCACTGATGAGATTTTCAAATTTTGGGCTAATTTTGGTGCAGAATTTTCTCTTCTGTAAACCACTGAACAGGGATAAAGGAAAGTAGTCAGTCTCATTTTTGTGTCATTGAAGCACTGTCTCTGATAGATGCTCTGTTTATTAGGCCAGCAAAACTGAAGACAATCCTAACCTGATTACTCTACATATGGTAGAGGAGATATAGAATAGAATAGTGAATAGACTTTATTTCCATTTTTAATTTGTCTTGAATTTTTAACTGAAGGGTTTTTGCCACAGAATGAGATTGCAGTAATATGCTTGTTCCTAGTGTTTCTCTGTCAATATAAAGAATGCCAAAGCAAAGCAGGGGATTAATTCAAACAATTTTCACACAGGGCCCCAAGAACAGTTATTCCCTCTAGTCCTTGATCACTCCTTGCACTTGTGGAAGCAGTTTCCTGCTCATACTCAGAAGTCTAAGACTTCCAGAGTTAAATCCTATTTCTCTTTGTCACAGTTTTCTGTTCCAGAGCTGACTATGGCTAAACCCAGTGCACACAGACAGGGTCAGTCCCTACTCACACTGTGTGCTAGTTCATGCATGGCACACTCACTAGGAATTATTAGCTAATAAGTTCTTAAAGCATTCTCCTGCTGTGCACACCATCAGAAGAAAACCCTAACTGAAATTACTTCTAAAGCCTACTTATCTTACTCTTCACAATTTGTGCTACTAAGTTTAGTCTCAAATCCATTCCAGTCTCATTCATGGGTTGCAGCTCTGACTCTCCTATAGATAACTGGCATGCTCAGGAGGAGCACTTTCAGGGTTAATACTATTCAAAATTGATGAGGATTTGTATTCCAGACAAAGGAATTAGGTTGTACATCCCATGTCTTGGCTACTTGCAGAAGGCAGAACCACTGCATGCTTGCAATGCAACCTAGTGTTTGATAACAGGGTCTTATTATTAAAAAACCGCTTAAACTGACACTTCAGAATAGAAAAAATTATGGAAGCTAATGGGAAGTGGTTTCTTACAAGGCTGAAGTTGGCTATCCCAAAGCTCATCTTTAACTCAAGAAACAGAATACTAAGAAAGCATGAACTTTGTTGCACTGTTTGGTACGACTTGGCCCAGTTTTGCTCTCTTGTTTCAGAGAAGAGACCTAGCAGCCCAAGGTACCTCTCCTCCTGCCCCTCAAGAAGGGCACTCTAGCTCTTATGAAGACAAATGACTGCCACTTCTCCTTCCCTGCTAATGTAGAGGCAGTGAGGAGAAGAAACAAAAGGACTTTTTCCCCTTTGGGCTCTACTGCAGAATCAAATTCCTCTTGCTGACACTAGGGTCATGCTAGCTGCTAGAGGAGCCTAAAATTCTGGATCATGCAGTCACATTTTGGCCCTGCAGATCTTTACTCCTGCATCTGTAATGAGTCATCCCCAGTCGGAGATGTTATCTCAGCAAAGTACATCTGCAAACATTTTATTCAGTAACTAACAAACTAATCTTTTGGAAGCTGCATGATTCATGCTGCAGCATCAGGGAAAATTCCCTTGTTAATTACCACAGAGATAATTGCCCTTAAGAGCACGGCTGCTGTAAGGTGAAACATCCATGTAGCTCAAAGCAAGCTGCTCCTCACAACTGCACGCACCTGCACCTCTGAAAATTCCTCTGAAATATTTTGGCTGGTGAGACAAGAACTTAAGAGCTTGCAAGAGATGGGAGTGTCTCCTCTGGGACCAGCTCTAGAGCATCTGGCACATCCACCTTGGAGGGGGGTGAGAGCAAAGTGAGGAGTTGTTTGAGTACACATAACCACCATGGGTGTGCAAGTGTACACACAGGCATGTTTTCATTTATGTTAAGTGCAGAGGGTGAGATCAGCCCAAACTGGGGAGATATATCTATTGACTTTTATTGAAATGGAATTAATGGGAATCTGCACTCTGATAATGATTTACCAGAGTAGACTATTTTAATGCCATAATCAACTCTTAATAACAATTTATCAAGGTAGTAAGAGAGAAAATCCACTATAATTATACATGCAGTGTAACAAAACACTCCCTCCAAAATAATCATTGGCCTAGGCTGAAATTAATGAGAGATGTCAGAGATGAGGATTCTCCTGGTACTGGGCATGATATAAACGTACAGAAAATTACAGAGCCTATTCCAAAAATAGAAAGTAGGATTGAAAAGTTTGATGGCTGAAAGGAAAAAGATGAGACACTGTACCAGGCTGGTGGCAGTTGGTCACAGGATGCAGCACAGGAGTGCTCCAGTGATGTGCAACCAACAAAGAGCTTATAGAAGGAAAGGGAAGACACTATAGAGGAAACATAGGTCTCATTTCTACAAAGAATAATCCCAATCCACTGGAAAAGTGTTCTGTCCCAAGTGACATGGAAGCTGGGAACTTTACAGGAGAGGCAAATAATTAATAACCAAAGCCATATATATCCTGCTCACCCCTGCCATGGTTCATTCAAGACAGGTTTGAGGCAGAGAGATGGAGCGTGGGGTGGGGATGTGTATATCATAACCTTTGATTGTGATAAACAGAGGATCTGGCAGCCCCTGAAGCTGCCAAACCAGAGTCCTCCAGAGTAATTACTCCACATGTGCTCCTACACACACACTTGCCTGCAAAACACACACTGAATATCAGATCATGTTCTTAGTATTCCAAGAAATCAACATAGATTCCCCTAGTTTCACTTTTAACCCCAAAATTTTCATTTGTAATTGATTTTGAGAAA